GTTAAGCGTCTGCCTTCAGCTCAGGTCATGATCCCAGGGTCCTGGGATCAAGCCCCGCATTGGGCTCCCTGCTCATGGGGAAGCCTGCTTCTCCCTCTCCCACTCCCCCTACTTGTGTTCCTGCTCTTGCTGTCTCTCTGTCAAATAAATAAACAAAAAATCTTTAAAAAAAATAAATAAAAAACCAATAAAAATGATAAACTCTAGAAAAGCTGACAAAGAATGAAGAAAGTACAATCACCATCAAATAATACTGGGGGTATCACTAAGATCCTGAAACCATTAAAGGATGATAAGAAAATGGTGCAAACATCTTTATACCCATAAATTTAACAACTTAGAAGAAATGGACCAACGTCTTAAAAGCTGCAAACTACAGAAACTCAACCAAGGTGAAATAAATAAACTCTAGAAGTCCAATAACCATTAAAGAAATGAAATATGTGATTTTAAAACATCAAAAAAAGAAATATTCAGGCCCATATTCACTAAAGAATTCTATAAACATTTAAAGATGAATTAACACCAATTTTGCACAATCTATCCCAGAAGAGAGAATCAATTCATTTTATAAAGCTAGTATTATCCTGACACCAAACTTGACCAAAACAGTATAAAAAAAACAAAGGCCAGTATGTCTCATGAACATAGACACAAAAATCTTCCACAAAATATTAGCAAATGAATCCAGCAAAGAATTATACAGCATGATGGGGTGAGGTTTATCACATATGTGCAAGGCTGGTTCATCATTGAAAAATCAATCACTGTAATCCACAATACCAAACTAAAGAAGAAAAATCATAGGATCATATCAAATTACACTGAAAAACATATGACAAATTCTAACACCCACTCACAATGAAAAAGAAACTCATAAAAATTAGAAGTAATTTCTTCATCTTGATGAAGATCATCTAAAAATAAAATACAGCTAACATTATACTTAACGATGAAAAACTAAATGCTTTCCCTCTAAGGTCCTGAGCAAGGCAGAGATGCCCACTCTCACCACCGTTATTCACCTTAGCACTGGAAATTATGGCCATTACAACAGGCCAGAAAAAGAAATAAAGGCATAGATAAAAGAAAAGAAGAATAAATGTTCCTCTTTGCAGATGACATAATTGTCTACATAGAGAATCTCAAGCAATCTACAAAACCTCATAGAACTAAGAGGTGAGTTCATCAGGTCATGAGATACAAGATGTACAGGCAAAATTGTCCTCCAGTCCAGTGCAGCCTTCCGATGAGTATAGCCTGGTAAACATCTTGACCACAGCTTGTGACTCTCAGAAAGTGTAAGAAAATAAATGGTTATTGTTTTCAGCCACTAAGTTTTGGGGGAATTTGTTATGCTGTGATAGATATCAAATCTCGTTGGACCACAGTTGCCTAGGGCCAATGTTTGCAGCCAATTCAGTCTTTTTTTTTTTCAAATGTTTTGTTGTTATGTTAATCACCATACATTACGTCATTAGTTTTTGATGCAGTGTTCCATGATTCATTGCTTGTGCATAACACCCAATGCTCCATGCCCAATTCAGTCTTTATTCGTTCACTCAATCACTCATTTGTTCATTCAGTAAATATTTATCATAAGCAGACCATTTGTCACATACTGCTGTTGGGCACCAGGTCATTCTGGGATGAATAAAACAGACCCAGATTGCTGCTATGATATGAGCTCTATCCTAGTGGGAGAGTTGGATAGAACCCACCAAAAGAAAACATACTAACAAGGTTTGGTGAACTATGGAGGAAACAAACAGGGTGAAAAGGGGTTGGTGATTGAGACAACAGGGTAACTCCTAGGAAGAGTGATCAGGGAGGCCTTTCTTTTTTTTTTTTTTAAAGATTTTATTTATTTATTTGACAGAGAGAGACAGCGAGAGAGGGAACAGAAGCAGCAGGAGTGGGAGAGGGAGAAGCAGGCTTCCCGCGGAGCAGGGAGCCCAATGCGGGGCTTGATCCCAGGACCCTGGGATCATGACCTGAGCTGAAGGCAGACGCTTAACCAGCTGAGCCACCCAGGCGCCCCCAGGGAGGCCTTTCTAAGGGAGTGGCATCCAAGGTGAAATCTAAAGGGTAAGAAGGAATAAGCAGTGAGAAGAGGTGGACAAAGAATCCAAGGAGAGGGACAAGCAGGTGCTAAGGGCCTAAGGATGGGCACTGTGGCTGGAGCACGGGGCACATTGAGGTGGGGGAGCAAGATAGAAATGCAGAACCCATAATTGGCTGGTCCCACTCAGGCCATGTAAGCCAAGCAAGGAGAGTGGGTTTCATCTGAAGAGCAGGGGACAAAAGGGTGTATTGGCTACTCCTGATTTTGTTGAAGTGCTCTCTTGCTGATGAGTGGAACAGAGGGAGGACAAGGCAGGAGGGGACTGGGAAGAACAGGGATGTCACCCTTGCACTAAGAGGAGAGAGAAAGGTTGTAATGTCAGGAGGAAGAGGAGATATGGGCCGATGGACAGTACCAGAGGAAGCATTGGTGGGGAATGACAGAGAGAGGAATCCCGGGTGACAGGGTCTCCTTGCAATAACTCTGGGAATATTGTTCCCTTTGATCTAGATAAGATAGTGTGGAGGAAGAACAGATCTGGGGAGAGACTGTTTAGGGGGAAATTGATAGACCTGGTTGTGCATGACAAAGTTGAGGACCTGGTTTAACCCAGGCAAGATGTCAGGCCCTGCACCTCAACCTGCCTCCCTACCATTTCCAGCATAAACTCACCCCAAACCCATCATGTCATGAGAACATGCCACTCTGAGTTAGGACAAACCTCCCCACCTCCTGGCAAGGACCATCCCCTAACTCTACACCCTGAGGAGGTCCCGGTCACCACTGTGAACCCAAAAGGGACACCAGCAGCCAGTGTTTTGGCAGACCACACTCCTGTTACATAACGGTCCCTCGTGCCACTGGATGGAGAGGAGAAGCCCAGTCTCAGCTTCACATGTCCCCATCGTCCCTTCAGCTTCCTCAATCTCTGGACCCTCTTGTCCATTGCCAGTACTCTGCCCTGTGAGTCACAGTAGAGTGGACTTTCCAAAGAAGAAAGACTCAAAAGTGAGGTGCTCATGGGGTTGGTGACGGCTGCTCCATGTTCATGTCTTGAGAACAGGGAAACACACAGGAGGGAAGCACAGCCTGGGGGATTTGTACCCTGGTTAGGAACCCAGGACCCTAATGGGACCTTTGAAAGCATCTGAGGTCACAGTGCCAACTTGTGTGGCCAGAGGAGAGCAGGGGTCCCATGGGGACTGTGGGTGCTTGGAACCGCAGGCTGAGGAGTCTTAACACCCTGCAGTCACCACCGATGCCTGAGAAGTTGGGCTACTGGCACTCCACCCCGGACATGGTCCATCCTGACCACAAGGAAGTGACATGTCACGGGGGTGAGGAAGTCCCACTGAGGAAGAAATGCTCCAGTGTGACTCCATTGTGTGGGGCGAGTGTGGACAGAGAGAGGAGCAGATGTTGTCTGCTTAAGGGGATGGCAATCCCAATCCAGTCCTTGACCAGGAGCTGTCCTGTCACTGGCATTGAGAGGAGCCCGGGGCACCAGGTCCAGGATTCTGCCTCAGTCCGTGGTGCTTCTCTCCCCGAGCTTCCTGCACCCTGTCCAGCTTGAGTCAATGTGGAAGAAGATTGTGAGACCAAACACAGGCTAGACAAGGAAGTGAAGAGGCCTCAAAAAGCAGAAGTGGGCTGTGGAGACTGGACCTTCTGTGAGGAGGCTTGAAATTGTCCCCCCTCCGGAACCTGGCATTGCTGTAGGTGATGTTTGTGCTGCACACATGACCCCAGGGGACAGAAGGCCGTGGCTGCCTGTAGCTCTGCTCCTTCTGCAGGTCCCAGGTGAGCAGGGCTGAGCCTGGGCAGGGAAGTCTGCCCTGAGGGGAGGGAGGGAGACAGGGGGAAGGAGGAAGGAGAGCAGAGAGCATTCTATGATTGGCCAGCATGCCTCAGCAGTGACCAGGAGGATTCAGTGCATAAAGCAGGTGAGTCATGTCCACTATAGTGGACAGAGCAGCCCTGAGGAGCTGGGCACCTGTGACCACCATTACTGTAGGGTCACAGTCAGAAACAAGGTCTGGGTGCATCACACACAAACACAAACACACACACATACATGCACACACATCAGGGACACACTCTCCTTGTGCCACTTTGTGAGGATGGAGCTACATCCCCTCCCTCTGGTCTCAGGAAAAGCCAGTCTCCTGCCAAGGCCTCCTCCAGACCCTGAGGGCCCTTCGGGGACTCCAGGGTCACCATGACCCCAGATCCCCTTGACCCAGGCTCATCTGGTGATTGACCACACTCGTCTCTGTTTTCCAGGCTGTTGGTGTCTGAGTGGCCCCACGTCCGTGACGGGCACCGTGGGGGGATTCCTGAGCGTTCAGTGTCAGTACGAGGAGAAATTCAGAGAGATTGTCAAATACTGGTGCAAGAGCCCATGTTTGGGGGATATTGTGAAGATTGAAAAGTCAGACAAAGAAGTGAGGAGCGGCCGGGTGTCCATCAGGGACCATCCTGCAAACTTCACCTTCACAGTGACCTTGGAGAACCTCACAGAAGGTGATGCAGGAACATACCGGTGTGGGATCGATACATCATGGCTCCCAGGATATATGATCGACCTCACCTTCCGTGTTGTGGTGTCTGTGACCCCAGGTGAGCTGTGGACCCCCCCTCCCCCAGCGCCAGCACCAGGGCTGTCTGAGACTGGGGTTGATCACCCCGACCCCAGCAGGAAAGTGGTGGGGCATGGTACAGAAGGGCGGGGTGGGAATGGTGTTGGTGCCTCGAACACCAGGAATATGCATGTGTGTGTTTGTGTATATGTCTGTTTGTGTCTAGGTGTGTTTGCAGGCGTTTTGTTGTCTGCTCACTCACACAAGATTATGAACACCTAGGCTGTCTGCCCTACGAGCCTCTGAGTGCCCCGCCCTGACACACTCTCACGCCTAAAACTCTCCAAGGGTGGGCAGGGGGAATGGCCCGGAGTCTGGGGTCGGCTGCCTTCCTGTCCTGACAAGGGTCCTGTCCACGCTGAAGGGGACCCGAGTCTCTTCCTGGACCGCTCTATGTCCTCCCAATGGGGAACGGAACCCCTAGAGCATTCGCTCTTCTCCCTTACTGGCTGCCCATGACCCGGGCTCTAACAGGACATCAGTGTGTCATGGATGGTTCCTGAGGCACCAGCCTCACAGCTGTGATCCTGGGGGTCTGCAGCAGCCTGAACAGGGGCCCAAGAAGGAGCCCCAGACCCTGATGTAGGGCTTCTGTGAGCATTTGGGGACCTCCCTGCCCCCGCGGCTTGACCCACCCCCTCCCATCTGGCCCCTTGTCCCCACAGGAGGGAGCTCAGAGAAACCCCTGAGCTCCCCTCAGACAAAGGAGAAGAAGGATGAGAAAAATGATTTCTCAGGACCTATGCCCCAAATATACTTCCCTCTGCTGCAAAGAATTCATCTTTACTAGAACCCTGTTTTTGTTTTCTAAGAACCACATGGAGGTCATCCTTAGATTTTTATCTTGTATTCTTATTCTGATGTTGTCCCTGGTTCCTCTGAGGTCCTTCTTGCAGGTCTTCATTTCTCTCACATGGGACATTTCCCTCCCAGGCCCTTTGTGGGATCCTATTTAACAGGGAGGGGCTGAGCATCCTCGGACCCCACTGGCTGTGTGAGGGAAAGCCATTTGTCCAGTTGGCTTCAGGAGAGGCCACATTCTATGGGGTCCCCCGGATGTATGTCTGTCTCTCTAGATCTTTCTTTCTGTCTACCTTTCTGTCCTGTGGTCCCCCAGGTTCACAGGTCTGGCTGACAGTTTGGGGCCTGAGTGCATTGAGTGCCAGGGTCCCACCATTCAGTGTAGACTCTGCTGAGTGCCCTGTTTCATGATCCTCACTCCAGACATCAGCCCTGCCTAAGGACCCTGCCTGCCCCACCCCCAGCTCTGGATCAATCTCTACAGAGTAAAGCTCACCCCATCCTCTGCCAGGGTAAACAAGGTATGGGGTGGCTGAGCCCGGAGCCCTTGCTCTTTCCCACTCCCACATGCCCCAGTGAGCAGGACGACTCTGCCTCTGAAATCGCCCACCTGGCCAGGGTGCACCTGGAGAAGGGGCCAGGGGAGGGCCAGAGTGCCAGTTAGACTGGGTGTGGCTGTGGGGGGATGTGGAGCCAGGACATCTGTCCAGATGGCCTGAGTGACCAGGACTAGGTGAATCAGAGCCACACAGCTGACAGAGAGTGGGAGAGCCCGGGGGAGGACAGCAGGCCTGACACAGGCTTCTCCCTCAATCCTCACTGCAGGC